GTACCAAAACATTTCTGCAGCATTGAAGGTCCCCAAGAACACAGTGACCTCCATCATTCTTAAATGGAAGAAGTTTGGAACCACCAAGACTTCCTAGAGCTGGTCCCCCGGCCAAACTGAGCAATCGGGGGAGAAGGGCCTTGGTCAGAGAGGTGACCAAGAACCCAATGGTCACCCTGACAGAGCTCTAGAGTTCCTCTGTGGAGATGGGAGAACCTTCCAGAAGGACAACCATCTCTGCAGCACTCCATCAATCAGGGCTTTATGGTAAAGTGGCCAGACAGAAGCCACTCCTCAGTAAAAGGAACATGACAGCCCGCTTGGAGTTTGCCAAAAAGCACCTAAAGACTCTCAGTCCATGAGAAACACGATTCTCTGGTCTGATGAAACCAAGACTGAACTCTTTTGCCTGAATGCCAAGCGTCAACTCTGGAGGAAAGCTGGCACCATCCCTACGGTGAAGCATGGTTGGTGGCAGCATCATGCTGTGGGGATGTTTTTCAGCAGCAGGGACTGGGAGACTAATCAGGATCGAGGCAAAGATGAACGGAGCAAAGTACAGAGCGATCCTTGATGAAAACCTGCTCCAGAGTGCTCAGTACCACAGACTGGGGCAAAGGTTCACCTTCCAACAGGACAACGACCCTAAGCACACAGCCAAGACAATGCAGGAGTGGCTTAAGGATAAGTCTCTGAATGTCCTTGAGTGGTCCAGCCAGAGCCCGGACTTGAATCTGATTTAACATCTCTGGAGAGACCTGAAAATAACTGTGCAGCAACGCTCCCCATCCAACCTGACAGAGCTTGAGAGGATCTGCAGAGAAGAATGGGAGAAACTCCCCAAATACAGGTGTGCCAAGTTTGCAACGTCATACCAAAGAAAACTCAAGGCTGTAATCGCTGCCAAAAGGTGCTTCAACAAAGTACTGAGTAAAGGGTCTGAATACCTATGTAAATGTGATATTTCATTTTTTTTATTTTTTATATAAATTCTAAAATCCTGTTTTTGCTTTGACATTATGGGGTATTGTTTGCAGATTCATGAGAGAGAGAAAAAACATTTAATCAATTTTAGAATAAGGCTTTAACCTAACAAAATGTGGAAAAAGTCAAGGGGTCTGAATACTTTCCAAAGGCACTGTATAGCATGCAGACCTGGGTTCAAAATACTTGAAAATTCCTTTCAAATTTGAGTGTTTGCTTGAGTCTGCGTGGAGTGCCAGACGGGCCTGGGTTACAGGGTTGGGACATTTCTATTGGTGTATTAAACCAGATGGCAGGCAAGCTATTTTTACTCCTGCTACGTTAGGCTAGGAAAGCTCAAACAGGCACAGATAAAGTATTTGAAATTATGTTTCAAATATATATATATACAGTGGGGAGAACAAGTATTTGATACACTGCCGATTTTGCAGGTTTTCCTACTTACAAAGCATGTAGAGGTCTGTAATTTTTATCATATGTACACTTCAACTGTGAAAGATGGAATCTAAACAAAAATCCAGAAAATCACATTGTATGATTTTTAAGTAATTCATTTGCATTTTATTGCATGACATAAGTATTTGATCACCTACCAACCAGTAAGAATTCCGGCTCTCACAGACCTGTTAGTTTTTCTTTAAGAAGCCCTCCTGTTCTCCACTCATTACCTGTATTAACTGCACCTGTTTGAACTCGTTACCTGTATAAAAGGACACCTGTCCACACACTCAATCAAACAGACTCCAACCTCTCCACAATGGCCAAGACCAGAGAGCTGTGTAAGGACATCAGGGATAAAATTGTAGACATGCACAAGGCTGGGATGGGCTACAGGACAATAGGCAAGCAGCTTGGTGAGAAGGCAACAACTGTTGGCGCAATTATTAGAAAATGGAAGAAGTTCAAGATGACGGTCAATCACCCTCGGTCTGGGGCTCCATGCAAGATCTCACCTCGGACAGGACGACTGCACCGTATTGAGGGGAGGATGGATGGGGCCATGTATCGCGAGATCTTGGCCAACAACCTCCTTCCCTCAGTAAGAGCATTGAAGATGGGTCGTGGCCGGGTCTTCCAGCATGACAACGACCCAAAACACAAAGCCAGGGCAACTAAGGAGTGGCTCCGTAAGAAGCATCTCAAGGTCCTGGAGTGGCCTAGCCAGTCTCCAGACCTGAACCCAATAGAAAATCTTTGGAGGGAGCTGAAAGTCTGTATTGCCCAGCGACAGCCCCGAAACCTGAAGGATCTGGAGAAGGTCTGTATGGAGGAGTGGGCCAAAATCCCTGCTGCAGTGTGTGCAAACCTGGTCAAGACCTACAGGAAACGTATGATCTCTGTAATTGCAAACAAAGGTTTCTGTACCAAATATTAAGTTCTGCTTTTCTGATGTATCAAATACTGATGTCATGCAATAAAATGCAAATTAATTACTTAAAAATCATACAAATGTGATTTTCTGGATTTTTATTTTAGATTCCATCTCACAGTTGAAGTGTACCTATGATAAAAATTACAGACCTCTACATGCTTTGTAAGTAGGAAAACCTGCAAAATCGGCAGTGTACCAAATACTTGTTCTCCCCACTGTATGTATATATATATATATATATATATATATATATATATATATATATATATATATGTAAATCAAATAAAAGTCTGATACCATGGCTTCAATTGAGATGTTATGTTTAATTGATAGTTTAAACAAGTACATTATAAAGCAAAGTGTGGAAATATACAACATAATAAAGCTAACTCATTCCCCCACATGACCTATAAAATATTATCAACTGGTTACACTGTGTGAAGAAATAGCTAGCTACCTACTCACTATTCAGACATTGTAGGCCTATAGTTGAAAATGAATTGATGGGAACAAAGTTTGAACCTGGCTTAAATGTTTTGTACAGTTGAAATCAGTCATTGTCAAAGTGTTTACCCTTAGCGCTGTCTGTTGAGTGTCTGGTATGCTTACTTTAAAGTCTTAAACTACTCTCCTGTGTCTGTTTGCATTTGTAAATCTTCTAATGGACCTGAATATATTGTTGAAATGCTGGGACCTCCAAAGGACAAACCACCATTCACGGCTTGAACAGCAGCACAGATGACAAACCTATAAAAATTCTCAATGTATTCAATCCTGGTCCTGGAGACCAACAGGGTGTGCAGGCTTTTATTCCAGCCTAGTAACACTCCTCTATCAACTAATCAAGGGCATGATATGTAGAATCAGGTATAGTCCTGGGCTATAACAAAAGCCTGCATAACCTGGAGGTAAGATAGGCCTTCTTTAAACCAGACACACACCAAAACCACACATTACCTTTAAAAAAATAAATATGCCATTTAGCAGACACTTTTATCCAAAGCGACTTACAGTCATGTGTGCATACATTTTTACGTATGGGTGGTCCCGGGGATCGAACCCACTACCCTGGCGTTACAAGCGCCATGCTCTACCAATTGAGCTACAGAGGACCACTAACCTTTTGATTTAGTAGCATCTCATTTTGTGGTTCAAAGCTGTTCACAATTTCATGTTAATATAACAAATTACTTCTCTTCAGACGGGCGATATGAGCGGGAAGGCTACCTAACACTGAAACACTAACAGTGATAAGCTGCAACATAGCAATCGAGTCTGGAGGCTTGTGAGAAGAGATGGACTACGTTTCCTGTACAGGAAACAGTGGTGGTTCTTAATTCCCCAGCCCTAACTCAACCAAACTACAACTCTTCAGTGATTCATTCTGGTACAGAGTATCTACCAAATCAACACTAATATACACTAAACATTTAGTACATGACCATTTTGTTTTATAGCGAGTCTAGGCAAAGCCCTGATCCTGCCATGGTGTTAGGGATTTGTGTCTAACCCAAAAGGCACTGCTGTGCTGGTTTGGCTGCGAGGACGATGACTTAATCACACTGATCGATGGCCTGAAACCATCTAATATAACCAAGAAATATGGTGTAGGCCTAAGCACTGAAAAATGTTTGAAGAGAACTCAGAAGCTTGAAGAGAACTCAGAAGTTTAAACTGCTACATACTGTAAAATAATTCTGAATCTTATTTGAACTAGGATATAGGCTAGTTAACACATACCTGTTTATTAAGCTAACTATCAGGGCATACATGAGGCATGGACACATACACAATAAGTAATTGGGAAAGAGATGAAACACTATACTGACAATGGAATGAAAATTATACTATAAACAACTGAATAAATGCATGGCTTTTCAGATAGCATATGTGTATTTGATCTTCTCCCATAGGGCTGCAGTCTGACTATATTCATTTATGTGTGAACTTAGGCAAAATGGGCAGGAAACTACATGTAAGAACTGACTCTCTAGTCATCTGTGCAGTAAGTAGCCTGAGGAATTACGAAATAAATCATGATAGTTTGCCATTTAATTATCTATAGCATTTACGGACGGTTGGTAGTACGATCTTCTATAGTGGATGGTAAGCGCAACAGGTGGAACTGCCCCCAGGTGGAAGTTAAGGCATCACATCTTGGAGGAGGCAGCGATGGCAGAGGCACCTCCACGGGTGTACACTCTCACAGTGTCCTAGTAGAGAGGAGGAGGGAAGGAGACAAAGGGAGAGAATGAGAAAATAGATTTGTGGATATAAACCAGAAAAAAACACAATCTTGTTTACGAGAGGTCCTGAGAGAAACAGTTACAACACAAATACATACTAAATGGAAAGCAATAAGACAAAAGGTCAACAAAAAGTTCTACCTGCATTAAAAAGAACAAGAAAAAAAAAGACTTTAGTTCATGTGTGCAACTATTGATTTTCATGAAGGATCTGCAATATACCTAAAACTGCTCATTAAATGATTTGACTATACTTGGATCTTTCTTTTTTCCCAAATATTTCCATCCAATTATTCCCACGCATCTGCAACGAGCCGTCTCAGATATGCGAGTGCTTTTCCTATTTGGACTATACTTTGATTGAAATAGGCAAAGACCCTTTTAAATTGACATAAGCTTTAGTGTCCATTGACCATAATGAATGGACTTACCTTCGTGGGTTCAGCGTTGTTGAGTAGGGCCTGGACCCCGTTTCCATAGTCTGCATGCACAGCCATCAGGTTCTGCACCTGGAAAAACAGGGCGTAAGAGCAGAGAGAGAGGGTCAGAACAGTGTTGATAGCGATGCCAGTAAAATAGATACATTATACAACATTGCATTGCAAAGATAACCTTCGTTTTAGTGGGGAATTTGATGCCTGGGAAATATACAGTGCCTTCAGAAAGTATTCACACCCCTTGACTTTTTCCACATTTTGTTGTGTTATACAGCCGGAATTTAAATTGAGATTTATTTTTTCACTGGCCTACACACAATACCCCATAATGTCAAAATTGAATTATGTTTTCTAAATATTTACAAATTAATTACAAATGAAAAGCTGAAATATTTTGAGTCAATAAGTATTCAACCTGTTTGTTATAATCAGCCTAAAGTTCAGGAGTAGAAATGTGTTTAATAAGTTGCATGGACTCACTCTGTGCAATAATATTGTTTAACATGAGTTTTTAATGACTACCTCATCTCTGTACCCCACACATAAAACTATCTGTATGGTCCCTCAGTCGAGCAGTGAATTTCAACCAAAGACCAGGGAGGTTTTTCAATACCTCGCAAAGAAGGGCACCTATTGGTAGATGGGTAAAAAAAAAGCAGACATTGAATATTCCTTTGAGCATGGTGAAGTTATTAATTAAACTTTGGATGGTGTATCAATCCACCCAGTCACTACAAAGATACAGGCGTCCTTCCTAACTCAGTTGACAGAGAAGAAGGAAACCGCTCAGGGATTTCACCATGAGGCCAATGTCGACTTTAAAACAGTTACAGAGTTTAATGGCTGTGATAGCAGAAAACCAAGTATGGATCAACAACATTGTAGTTGTGGTCCTCTGTAGCTCAGCTGGTAGAGCACAGCGCTTGTAACGCCAAGGTAGTAGGTTCGATCCCCGGGACCACCCATACACAAAAAAAATGTATGCACGCATGACTGTAAGTCGCTTTGGATAAAAGCGTCTGCTAAATGGCATATTATTATTATAGTTACTCCACAATACTAATCTTATTGACAGAGGGAAACGGAAGCCTGTAAGAAATTAAATATTCCAACACATGCATCCTGTTTGCAACAAGGCACTAAAGTAATACTGCAAAAAAAAGCAATTAAACCTTTTGTCCTGAATAAAAAGTGTTATGTTTGAGGCAAATCCAATAAAACACATTACTGAGTACCACTCTCCATATTTTCAAGCATAGTGGTGGCTGCAACATGTTATGGGTATGCTTGTAATCGTTAAGGACTGGGGAGTTTCAGGATTAAAAAGAAACGGAATGAAACTAAGCACAGGCAAACTCCTAGAGGAAAACCTGGTTCAGTCTGCTTTCCACCAGACACTGGGCGATGAATTCAGCTTTCAGCAGGACAATAACCTAAAACAAGGCCAAATCTACACAGGAGTTGCTTACAGTACCAAGAAGACAGTGAATGTTCCTGAGTGGCCGAGTTACAGTTTTGACTTAAATCTGCTTGAAAATCTATGGCAAGACCTGAAAATGGTTGTCTAGCCATGCATGACCAACAACCAATTTGACAGATCTTGAAAAACTTTGCAAAGAATACATGGCCAAATGTTGCACAACTCTTATTAGAGATTTACACAGAAAGACTCATAGCTGTAATCGCTGCCAAAGGTGATTATAACATGTATTGACGCAGGGGGTTCAATACATATGTAATCAAGATATATTGGGTTTTATTTTTCATATACACTGCTCAAAAAAATAAAGGGAACACTTAAACAACACATCCTAGATCTGAATGAATGAAATAATCGTATTAAATACTTTTTTCTTTACATAGTTGAATGTGCTGACAACAAAATCACACAAAAATTATCAATGGAAATCAAATGTATCAACCCACGGAGGTCTGGATTTGGAGTCACCCTCAAAATTAAAGTGGAAAACCACACTACAGGCTGATCCAACTTTGATGTAAAGTCCTTAAAACAAGTCAAAATGAGGCTCAGTAGTGTGTGTGGCCTCCACGTGCCTGTATGACCTCCCTACAATGCCTGGGCATGCTCCTGATGAGGTGGCGGATGGTCTCCTGAGGGATCTCCTCCCAGACCTGGACTAAAGCATCCGCCAACTCCTGGACAGTCTGTGGTGCAACGTGGCGTTGGTGGATGGAGCGAGACATGATGTCCCAAATGTGCTCAATTGGATTCAGGTCTGGGGAACGGGCGGGCCAGTCCATAGCATCAATGCCTTCCTCTTGCAGGAACTGCTGACACACTCCAGCCACATGAGGTCTAGCATTGTCTTGCATTAGGAGGAACCCAGGGCCAACCGCACCAGCATATGGTCTCACAAGGGGTCTGAGGATCTCATCTCAGTACCTAATGGCAGTCAGGCTACCTCTGGCGAGCACATGAAGGGCTGTGCGGCCCCCCTAAAGGAATGCCACCCCACACCATGACTGACCCACCGCCAAACCAGTCATGCTGGAGGATGTTGCAGGCAGCAGAACGTTCTCCACGGCGTCTCCAGACTCTGTCACGTCTGTCACATGTGCTCAGTGTGAACCTGCTTTCATCTGTGAAGAGCACAGGGCGCCAGTGGCGAATTTGCCAATCTTGGTGTTCTCTGGCAAATGCCAAACGTCCTGCACGGTGTTGGGCTGTAAGCACAACCCCCAGCTGTGGGGCCCTCATACCACCCTCATGGAGTCTGTTTCTGACCGTTTGAGCAGACACATGCACATTTGTGGCCTGCTGGAGGTCATTTTGCAGGGCTCTGGCAGTGCTCCTCCTGCTCCTCCTTGCACAAAGGCAGCGGTCCTGCTGCTGGGTTGTTGCCCTCCTACGGCCTCCTGATGTACTGGCCTGTCTCCTGGTAGCGGCTCCATGCTCTGGACACTACGCTGACAGACACAGTAAACCTTCTTGCCACAGCTCGCATTGATGTGCCATCCTGGATGAGCTGCACTACCTGAGCCACTTGTGTGGGTTGTAGACTCCGTCTCATGCTACCACTAGAGTGAAAGCCCCGCCAGCATTCAAAAGTGACCAAAACATCAGCCAGGAAGCATAGGAACTGAGAAGTGGTCTGTGGTCACCACCTGCAGAACCACTTCTTTATTGGGGGTGTCTTGCTAATTGCCTATAATTTCCACCTGTTGTCTATTCCATTTGCACAACAGCATGTGCAATTTATTGTCAATCAGTGTTGCTTCCTAAGTGGACAGTTTGATTTCACAGAAGTGTGATTGACTTGGAGTTACATTGTGTTGTTTAAGTGTTCCCTTTATTTTTTTGAGCAGTGTATATTTGTTTTATACAAATGTTTGAATTTTTCTTCCACTTTGACAGAGTATTTTGTGTAGATCGTTGACAAAAAAGGACAAATCAATTTTAATCCCACTTTGTAACAACAAAATTTGAAAAAAGTAAAGGGGTGTGAATACTTTCCGATGACAGTGTGGTGGAGGAGAGTTTAATTTGAATAGTAATGATGATGATTGTGATAAGAAACATGAAGATATGTAAATATAACATGATTGCTGATCCCAATGATGATGAAAATGGTGACTTACACTATCATAATGATGACGGTTATGATGAGGAGGAGGAGAAGAACTCACCCAGCGTTTCTGGATGAAGACTTGGGCTCCCTTCAGGGCACCAGCCATGTTCTGACAGAGCCTCTGGCGCTCCTCCTCGTTCAGCACCTCAGTGAAGAAGGTACGCACCTGCAATACACACACACACACACACACACACACACACACAAGGTCAAGCAACTGGTCACACACACACAAACCAAGACATGAATAAGCATTAATAAACTATTAATAAACTATAAATAAATAATATTTCATTATTTGTAATCATTTATAAACATTTGTAAGCATGATAAGCATGATAGATAGCAGGGATTTTTTATTTATAATTACTCACAAAGCCTTTACAAACATTTGAACACAGAAAAAAAGTAGCATTGCTTAAAAAGGAGATTTAGAGTTCTATATAGAGCGTATCATCGTGCCTGGCAGTGCACACAGATCTCTATGTGTAGGAATTCACCCTCACGTCACAGCAGCGCAAACCTCTTTCCTGGACAGGGGCCTTATCAACCTCTTGCGACCAGGAACCCTGATTGAACCCAGTGGCCAGGAGGAGCCCCTTTTCAAGTGCCAGGCTTGACCAGCAGGGCCAGGATATGGCCCCAATCTACACATCCTGGAAGAGCCAGAGCTGGAATGCTCTTTGCTCCAGTATATGACGGGGTAATAAAGTCCAGATCGACTAACTTTTAAGTGGCAAGCCTTTTTCTAAGAAAGAAGGCCTATGCATTCAACAATGGATCAAGATGTAATCTAAAACACATTTCCTGACAGCACATCAAACATGAGCCTCGTAAAAGGTTGGGGTTAGTGAAAAGTATGTTGTATGTTCCTCTTATAAATTGTCCTTCTCCCTTGAAGCCGAGCAAACTATTGCGGATCACGGGCTTGCATCTGGCTGATCTAGGGCTGTCCCCGACCCCAAAAAATATTGGTTGACCGAATGTCGTCTGTTCTTTCGACCAATCGAGTGCTGTGTTTTAATAAAATGAACTATATGCATTGAGCTTGTCTGATACTTTAAGCGTACGTTTTGATGCCTCAAGAGGGTGCCAGAGATCTAGATAACCAGAAGAAGAAAAACCTTAACCTGATCCAACTTCAAAGTAGCAAAGCTGTCATCAAGGCAAAGGGTGGCTACTTTGAAGAATCTCAAATATAAACTATATTTTGATTTGTTTAACAATTTTTTGGTTACTACCTAATTCCATGTGTTATATCATAGTTTTGATGTCTTCACTATTATTCTACAATGTAGATAATAGTACAAATAAATAAAAACCCTGGAATGAGTAGGTGTGTCCAAACCTTTGACTGGTACTGTACATACACTACCGTTCAAAAGTTTGGGGTCACTTAGAAATGTCCTTGTTTTCGAAAGAAAATCATTTTTTTGTCCATTAAAATAACATCAAATTGATCAGAAATACAGCGCAGACATTTTTAATGTTGTAAATGGCTATTGTAGCTGGAAACGGCTGATATTTAATGGAATATCTACATAGGACTGACGGTTACTGATAATGGGCCTCTGTACGCCTGTGTTCCAATGGCACATTGTGTTTGCTAATCCAAGTTTATCACTTTAAAAGGCTAATTGATAATTAGTGTCACAAATTCCGCCGACTGCTCCTCCTCCTTGTTCGGGCAGGCTTCGGCCTTCGTCGTCCCCGGAGTACTAGCTGCTACCGTTTGATGTTCTCTATGTTTGTTTGGTTTTGTCTGTTTGGTGCACCTGTGTCTTATCACTTATTGATTATGTCACCTATAAGTTTCCTTTGGTTTTGTTTGTAGTTGTGTGTTGTTGTCCGCCTGTCCATTGGGGTTTTGGATTTTGCTCTGGTGTATTTAAGTGTATTGACGCACTGTTTGCGCATCGCTTATATTTTGTGTTTTACGCACTGTTTGCGTATCACTCGCCTCCGTTGCTTGAGGCCCGTTCTTTTTGTATTGTCATATTTCTGACTAGTAAAGTCTGTTGGACTAAGCTTCTGTGACCTGCGCCTGACTCCAACACCACATCCACTTCAAACACTGACAATTAGAAAACACTTTTGCAATTATGTTAGCACAGCTGAAAACTGTTGTGCTGATTAAGGAAGCAATAAAACTGGCCTTCTTTAGACTAGTTGAGTATCTGGAGCATCAGCAATTGTGGGTTCGATTACAGGCTCAAAATAGCCAGAAACAAATAACTTTCTTCTGAAACTCTTCAGTCTATTCTTGTTCTGCGAAATTATGGCTATTCCATGCGAGAAATTGCCAAGAAACTGAAGATCTCGTACAACGCTGTGTACTACTCCCTTTACAGAACAGCGCAAACTGTCTCTAACCAGAATAGAAAGAGGAGTGGGAGGCCCCGGTGCACAACTGAGCAAGAGGACAAATACATTAGAGTGTCTAGTTTGAGAAAAAGACGCCTCACAGGTCCTCAACTGGCAGCTTCATTAAATAGTACCCGCAAAACACCAGTCGCAACGTCAACAGTGAAGAGGCGACTCCGGGATGCTGACCTTCTAGGCAGAGTTGCAAAGAAAAAGCCATATCTCAGACTGGCCAATAAAAAGGAAAAGATTAAGATGGGCAGTCTGAGATATCGCTTTTTTTCTTCTTCTGTTTACCTTGATCTCTGGGTCCCTCGAGTAATTTGTGTCTTATTTCATCAAACTGTGAGTTTAAAGCATCAGACAAGCTCAATGCATATAGTTGACTTTATTCAAACACATAGGTTGTGTCTATATGGAAAAATACAGGTTTTAAAATTTTGACCAATCGATTGGTCGAAAGAACAGACTACTATTTTTTTTGGTCGGGGACAGCCCTAAATGTAACTGTAAGCTAGTTGTTGATAGCAACCGGCTGACTCATGCAGTCCTGTAACATTAGCAGGCTAGTAGGGCTAATGGGCAAATTATTTGGTTTAATTTGGAGTTTACATTATAGGGAATAGCCTGGCTTGCAAGTCCTCCATATTATGTTACACGGCACACTTTTTCCCCCCGGCATGACTTGGGCATTCTGATCAGTTTAATGTAATAATTTCAGAAATAGAAAAGTGAGGTGTAACTTTGCATTGGGACATTTGATGCATATACTAATGCAAATCCATATGTTACATGTGGTTATGTTTATGCTACCTACCCTTTAAGTATAGTATTGAATGTGTAAACATTGTTCTATCCAAATTGAGAATATAATTCTCTAGTAGTTTGCTGATAAACAAATTACTTAATTCATAATTCTCCTGTATCGATTTGATCCCACTATTATCATTACTGCTGTAACCATTGATCAATTGATAGATTTGTACTCTTTTTATTATTCAACTTCTGTATTTTACCTGTTGTTATGGGTTTCTCTAATACAAAACAAGCTCTTGAAAATAGTATGAATTCATGAATCTGATATTAGGCTCATCAGATATACCTTTAGATAAATAAAATATTACTATTATTCTAATTTCTGTCTTATAGTGTTATTGTTAAGATAAGTCAGGTCTTCTTAAAATACCATGTTTGTCCAATAACAGACTGGGCCCCTAATTATTTGTCCTTAGAGATTAATTAATAATATTAAGTAATAACTTGACCAATATAATAATTGCCAAAATAAAGGAAACACCCAACATAAAAAGTGTCTTAATAGGGCCTTGGGCCCCCACGATCCATCAGTAAAGCTTCAATGTGCCTTGGCATAGATTCTCTATTGGAGAGATGCGACACCTTTCTTCCACAATAAATTCCATAATTTGGTGTTCTGTTGATGGAAAATGCTGTCTCAGGCGCCGTTCCAGAATCTTCCATAAGTGTTAAATTGGGTTGAGATCTGGTGACAGACGGCCATGGCATATTGTTTACATTGTTTTCATGTTCATCAAACCATTCAGTGACCACTCTTGCCCTGTGAATGGGGACATTGCCATCCTGGAAGAAACCACTCCCATCAGGATAGAAATGATTCACCATAGGTTGAAGGTGATCACTCAGTATGGTTGTGTGTTTACTGCCGTTTACCTTGCCCTCTAAGGGGTTGAGTGGACCTAAACCATTCCAGAAAAATCCACTCCACCCCATAACAGAGCCCCCAGAACTGTCATTTACTCAAGTGTTTCCTTTATTTTGGCAGTTACCTGTATGTGCACACTGCGCTCTACATAGATACATTACCTGTGTGACATTATCGTCGTCAGCGCTGTTGTAGCGGCCCACGTCTTGGGACACCTTAAACCTGGTCTCCACGTTCTGCCGCTGGGTCTCTGGAGCACTGAAGCTGTTGGGGAAGTAGTTGGGAGCGCCAGCCTGGTTGTCGAACATGCACATGGGCCCGTCTCGCTGGTAGTTGGACACACGGGTTTTGAAGGGGCAGTTGACGGGCAGCTGCAGGTAGTTGGTTCCCAGCCGGTGGCGGTGTGTGTCTGGGTAGGAGAACAGACGCCCCTGCAGCATCTTGTCGGGGCTGGGCTCGATACCAGGGGGCATGTTGCTGGGGTCAAAGGCCAGCTGCTCGATCTCAGCAAAGTAGTTGGCAGGGTTTCTGTTGAGCACCAACCTCCCCACGGGAATGAGGGGGTACTCCTTGTGAGACCACACCTAAGGAAAAAGAGAAGTGTTGCTACCTCTCAGGCCAACCAAGGTGCACGGATGTGCAAGAGATTTCTAGCCATTCTTTGAGGACAAATATTTTTTTTAATAGAAAATGTAAGCATGCATGACCCCCTATACTGTACTATTTTCACCTAATAATTATCCTGACTAAATTGGAGCTATTGAGTCAGTTGCCAATTATACTACCATTCACAAATGCTATGATACCATAACAGATCTCAGACCACTTTCAGATCTTTCAGTGGTTATGTGGAGTAAGTCCCCTCTCTGGTAGAAAAGTCAGAGTAGTGCAAATGTCTAGATACTCAGAATATTTTTGGGACATCTTGTTTAAATGGCTAACAAAGTAGAATACTAAGACATTTCTGGTATTTCTGTCACATTCTTTAAAAACCAATGTAAAGTATTGATAAAATGTTATAAGGGGTTAGCGTCCCCACATAATTGAATAGAAGATTATGAGCATTAAAATTGTCTCTCATTGGTACCTTGGTCAGGTCAAAGGGGTTCCACTGGAACTTCTCAGCCTGGTCAAAAGTCATGACCTGGATGTAGAATGACCAGGAGGGGAAATTGCCGTTGGCGATGGAGGTGTAAAGGTCTCGGATGGCGTAGTCCGGGTCGGTGGAGGCCAGGCGCTCGGCGTCCTCGGGTTTCATGTTCTTGATACCCTGGTTGGTCTGAGAGGAGGGCAGAGGAAGGATGCTATGGGTTACTATGGACCCATCCTTCTTTACCCACCATTACTCTCTTCATCCTTCAGTTAATTAAGTATAGTCGACTCCTATATCCATGTAAGTGTAGCACATTTCACTAGTCCTGTACTATCCTGTTCATAACATCATTTTTAGTTTGTGCTCTGACCTTGTGGTGGAACTTGCAGTAGACTGGCTGACCCTCGGCATTGACCAGCTTGAAGGTGTGGGATCCGTAGCCGTTCATGTGGCGGAAGCCGTCAGGCAGACCACGGTCACTGAACAGGAACGACACCTTCACAGAGATTAAGACAAAATGATGAACAAAGGCACATATTCAGTCATAAGCAATTGAACTTTTATAAGATATAAAAACATATGTATGTAGAAGAATGATACAATCATCTATTTAAACTAATGCAGCAACCACCATTTCTAGATATAGTGGCATAGCTTTGAAGTTGTTAATGAGATGTTCTTACGAGAATTTGGCTTAGTGTGGGGTGAAATCAGAAAATACATTTTTAAATGTTTAGTCATTTAGCAGACGCTCTTATCCAGAGCGACTTACATGAGCAATTAGGGTTAAGTGCCTTGCTTAAGGGCACAGACAGATTTTTCACCTAGTCGGCTCGGGGATTAGAACCAGCGACCTTTCGGTTACTGGCACAACGCTCTTACCCACTAAGCTACCTGCCGCATTTTCTGATTCTAACTTTTGTGCGTGCACGTGTAAAGGTTTGGTGGCGGGTAGAGAGGAGCAGATACAGCACCTGATGCATACACTCAGGCCGCAGGCTCCAGAAGTCCCACACCATGTCTGGGTCCTTCAGGTGAGTCTGGGGGTTGCGCTTCTGAGAGTGGACGAAGGATGGGAACTGCAAAACAAAGTGAAATCAGAGAGATGTGTAATGGCATTTAATATCATACGGGGAGATGAACTAATGTATTAACCTGGTTGCCAGTCTGTTTAGCTAACATTCCACTCCTTGTATTCCATGTCATGTGACAAAGACTGAATCTTGACAAGGCACACCCAGGCGCAATCTTGACTCAAACGTGTCTGAACTCACCAGCATGGCATCCCTGATAAAGAATATGGGGGTGTTGTTGCCAGTAAGGTCCCAGTTGCCCTCGTCAGTGTAGAACTTGACTGCAAAGCCACGTGGGTCTCGCACTGTGTCTGCTGAGCCCGATTCCCCAGCTACATGAGTTCGAGACAAAATAGGATGATATGAAACTCACAGTTTAAACACAAGACATTAGAAAAAAGAAAAAAATATGACATTGTGTATTTTCTGGTATTTATTCAATGATGTATTGATGATGTACAGTGGGGTCCGAAATTAGAGACACCCTTGATAAAGATGAGCGAAAATGGCTGTATACATTAATTAAAATACTGAGCTATATTGTATGATCCCAAAAAATTGGGCAATTGTATTATTTTATACAAATACAATTGCGAGGATAACGGCACTGAGCCTTTTTCTAAAATGTTTTACAAGTTGGAGAACACATTGGGAAGGATCTTAGACCATTCCTCCATACCGAATCCTTACAGATCCTTGATATCCTTCGTCTGCGTTTATAGACTGCCCTCTTCAATTCAAACCACAGGTTTTCAATGGGTTTCTATTCCGGACTTAGATGGCCATTGCAAAATGTTGATTTTGTGGCCAATTAACCTTTTCTTTGTAGATTTTGATGTGTGCTTGAGGTTATTGTCTTGCTGGAAGATCCACTTTCAGCCAAGTTTCAGCCTCCTGGCAGAGGCAACCAGGTTTTTGGCAAAAACATCCTTGTACTGGGTAAAGTTCATGATATCGTTGACCTTAACAAGAGCCCCAGGACCAGTGGAAGCAAAATAGCCCCATAACATCAAAGGTCCATTTTATTTATTAATATAATATATATTTGAATGTTATATAGACTAAACGTCACAAAAACAAATTTAGACATTAATAAATGCATTTCTATAGCTTCCAAATATATATATTTTTACAATGGTGGGGAAACGCCAAGACGGAGATGCATTGGCTTCAGAGACAGTGCCCCCATCAGTCATCTAGTGTATATATTACATTTTATATTTACAGGAGTAATTAGTGCCTTGCTCAAGAGCACGTCGGGAGATGTTTTCACCTAGTCGGCTCGGTATTCGAACCAGCAACCTTTTGGTTACTGGCCCAATGCTCTTAACTGCTAGGCTACCTGACTCTGTCCAGGATTCTTCTGGTATCGGCAAACATTGCTTTTGCAGACAAGCATGCTCTTAGTCATTTCCTCTACAGTAGCAGTAGTAGAATTGGAAGCTAGCAATTCTGATAGTGTTTCTTTATGCATGTCCTTAGGGAAACAAAAGCAACTGTGTAAAATGTGTTTGTAGCAGTTTTATAGAAAAGCCATAGTGAGCAGCCTCAAAATAATATTTTACCAAGTATGTTCTGAGAAAATAGGCAAAATAAATAAATAATGTAGGCTAATGTCTTACCCACGGTGGAGAAGCGAATGGCGATAGGTGTGGTCTTGCCCACATGCTCAAACACCTTGGCCTTGCAGTAGCGAGAGATGTCATGTGTCACCTCAAAGTACCCAAAAGCACCTGTGGATGAAGAGGCAGAACATTGTCAGTTACTGTGTATACATCTAGCTAGTTGGCTAGATAGTAAGTAAACACCTAATTATAAAGTCATACACATAGTGCACTTTACACTTCTGTAGAGTGGGCCAACAACACACACCGTCACATGATCAAGCATGGTCCTATAATATTCTGCCCCGAGTAGACTAGAGAGCAGTTTACAGTTGGTAGTTTACAGAAGTAGGCCAACACTTTCTAGTATGTTTACTTCAAATGTGATAGGCCTGTCTGGGGAAGTGTTTCCCCTATACCATTACTTTGTGAGGGTCCACTCTTAAGAACAAATCTAGTGGCGTCTAACTGACTGTCCAGCTCTGTCATTTCAGCCTGTCTTCAAACAGTTTCTGACAAATACAGTGAGCTCCAAAAGTATTGGGACTGATAATTGTGTTGTTTTAGCTCTGTACTCCAGCACGTTGGATTTGAAATGATACAATGTAATGATTGAAGTGCAGACTGTCAGCTTTAATTTGAGAGTATTTTCATCCATATCGGGTGAACCATTTAGCAATGACAGCACTTTTTGTACATAGTCCCCCCCATTTTATTTACATGTGAC